TCTGTTTTTGTGTTTCAAATCTCATTTTTTTCCAAAATTTTGAAAACAAAAATACTAAACAAACAGGTTTTGGGTGTTTTTAGAGTTTTGAGAACAAAAAACTATTTTTGAAAACTAAACCAAACATACCCTAAGTGTTCGATTTTGAGTGATCTTCGTGACAGGGACTAAATGTTCGATTTTGAGTTGTTTACGTGACAAGTTCTAAGTGTTCGATTTTGAGTTGTCTTTGTGACAGGAACTAAGTGTTCTATTTTGTATTTTATACGTGGCAAGAGGAAATAAAGTGATTGCGAGTCATCTAAATGATGTGAATTAAATGTTTGGAATGAGTCATTAACGTGATGGAAATTATCGATGTGCTTCGAGTTGTCTACGTGACGAAAGATAAGCTATGTGCTACGATTTATCTATGTGTTGAGAATTGTTTTTGTGTGGCTTGAATTCCTTGTGTGGCCGGGATGTGTGCGTGAGGGGTGTTTGTTGTGTGGCTAAATTTAATTATGTGAAACTCATGATTTGTGTAGTATATTTTGATTATGTGGTATATACAAGTTATATCTACGTGATGTACACCAATTACGTCTATGTGGTGAAGTGTAATTTGAATGTTGGTAACTGTTACGTTGTTAAGGTTGTTCCTAAATTAATAAATTATTTCTTTTTCTCCTGTTGTGTTCATAATTAATGATCACATCATTGCTCTCACTAATGATCTTAATGACTTTTTAGAAAAAATCGTAAAGATGCGAAGAGTCTACTGTCAAGTTTAGAAGGTCAATTAGGATGTCACCATGGGGAGGGGTGGTTTTATCTATTTGTCCGTTTTAATTAAATTGTATTTCTTTTATATGTCATAGTTTTGAGATCAATATCACGGTCTGACAATAAGTAGGGCTCATGGTGAGCCATTTCACTAAGGGGTTATGGTGAATTTTTATGCGCTTGTATTTATGTATAGAAAATGGGTAGAGATTTATGATTGTTGTCGACTTCTTTTTATAGTTTGTGATAGATAGTGTACCCCAGGTTGGGGTGTTACAATAATAATTTTCAAACTTTACTTCTTTATATTTGTCAAATAGTTTGTTTCATTTAAATATTTAAATTTCAGTGAATACCAAACAGTTTGCGAATTAAAAAATTTAACATTTAATTTTCAGTATCTATAATATAAAATAGGGTAAATTTTAATAAGTTCATCCGACGGTCTCAAAATAGACTTAGATGTGACTCAATAGTATTAAAAAAAAAACTTGGGTTTTAGGACCCAAATTTTTAGAAGGTCCCATAATTTTAGGTACATTACTAAACCACAAAAAAATTAAATCTATTAAATTTTAAACATAAAAAAACACCTCAAAAAATTAAATTCAATCAAAATTTTTATTATAGTAATTTAGATCCATGATCCAAATCTATAACATTAGAAACCTTATAATTATAAGTTAAAAAAATAAAAAACACTTAAAAGTCAGCTCGTATTTATCCTTGCTCACTCTCTCTCTGTGTAAAAATCAGTAAACAATATATAAAAAAAAGTAAAAATTAAATATCTCTTTGGTAAAAAATAAAAATAAAAGTTAAAACATTTTTCTGAGCAATAGTAGCACGTCATTCTTTTGTCTCTCTCTCTCACACATAATAAATTAAAATTAAATTACCTTTTTTAAAAAATTAATATTAAAAATAAAAAAGGCTTCATCTAGTGTTGTCACTTTAGATCTTAATTTGCCTTGAGCCACCCTAAATAAACTCATCTAATGGTCATTAACATTCCTCTCAAAATTATTTATATTATACCGTACTTTCAGACACAAATTATTTCTAATTTAACTACCAATTTTATTAAAGACCACCTCAAGTATTCTCTCTCCCAACCAATCATTACAAAACTTTGATTTATGTAATTTTCTTGTCATAAACTTATTTATCTACCCTTAACCGTTTGTGACTTCCACTCCTCTCTTGGATGTTTTCAAAAGAAAACAACATAATAATGTGTTGTTTAGAATAATTTTCGAAAATCATCAGCCTATTAAATGAGATATGTTACAAATATCATCACTTGTCTGTCACAGTTTTTCAACTTATTGGTTCCAGTTACGCAAGCAAGACCATGCAAATTCAGGAAATAACTAGTTTAGTGTACTCTCCTAAGGTGTTCAGTGGAACTATGCCCAAAGCTTGAGAGATGCAGCATTGAATGCAAGATTATAGCGTAAATTCTAAATGCGTATAATTATCAATAAAACCACATAGATCGAATAAATCATAATTTTTTTTACGATAAAAAAAAATTATGAAAATGAGTGAGGGATTGACCACTGGACTCCTTGGATTATGGGATTAGGATGCTTAGTTTAGGATTACGTGAATCAAAAAAAATTACGAAAATGTGAGGAATGTTATTTTGTTTAAGTCGTTAGATTGCGAATTGATTTGTTTAGTGCTATTCTTTTCACGAACAATATTACTTTGACAAATCACTCTGGTATGCAGGACTTTGAATGACTCTTCTCCTTGATTCGGGTGTCCACAGAAAAAAAGACTTGACTACGGGATGAAAGAAATAATTTCAATACTCTATCTTCAATTTCGGTACCATATCTCTCCGTTTATATTATTATGACAATCATCTTTCTCAAGAAAAACTTGCTAAGCTTTTCCTTTCACTTTTAAAAGAAAACAGACTAAAGTATTAAATTATTAAATATAAATTAAAAAATTCCTCCAATTACCACATAACGGGCTTGTTTGACTGCCGTATTAGAAATAGATTAATTATATAAAATAATCCAGTATAATACAATACAGCAGAACCAAAGACAAAATTAAATCAGGTATTAGAATAATACATAATTTTATCTAATGTTTGGTAATACACAACATAAACGTTGGACAATAGTTATTTAATCCAATCGGTTGTTTGATTTGAGAATTATTTCATTATATTAATATTGAATTAACAAAAATACCCTCAATCAGTATTTGTTACATTGATGATAACTTAATTTTATCTGTTGGAGGGCTATAATAGTAACTGAGTAGAATAATACGTTTAAGTTAGATTATAATACCCTCTATCTTGATGGTATTAAAATATTTTAATAATACATGTCTATCGTATAAAAAATATATAATAATTATACGTTTTTTAAATTAATACGGTATCAAATTTATTTACCAAACAAAATATTAGGTCCGATTAAATAAAAAATAGTACAATATAATATTTAATTCCCTCATAATATGTCTACTAAACGAGTCCACGTGTATCTCAAGTACCGATTAAACACCACGTTAAACCAATTGTTTCACATTACTCCCATTTTTAAGTGACTCATATTTTACCTCTAACATCTATAGTTCTTAAAATAATAGTACACCTATTAATAACGAGTAATGATATTTATTTCAAATTTATAACTCAAATTTACATTTCAAATTAAGGAGGACCATTGAATCAGTGGGTTCCATTTCAAAAAAATTGATAGGACCTATGAATCCAATGATCCTCCTTAATTTGAAATACATAACACTACTATTAATATCATGGTAAAATCACCGTTCCGTTAGATTTTTTATTCCCAATTTCAGCGGGCATAGTGATAAAATGCAGATTATGGAGACAGCATATCACGATCTATCCACATTGATTCGTGGGCATGCTAGACGGACAAGAAACACAATATGGACCAAGCCTTGCAAGCTTCCGTCCAGCACAGATTACAAAGTAGCACGATATTTTAGATAAGTTAAAAAATCATCCAACCCTACGTGCACTTTTCTTTACCGCAGAATGTTTCTCTACCTTATGTATTTTTATATCCCATAATCAGTGAATTATTTTTGGCTCCCCAAAAATAATAAAAAAATAAATAACTCACACCAATTTTATTTTTCCTTAATATATATATTTACTTTACGAATTTTATTTTGCCTTGATATTATTGATCTCATTTTTATTAATTTAATATTGAAATTTTATTTATTATGTCAACTATCATTTTATTTGGACTTTAAATTTAATTCTATTTTTTTGCTAGAAATATGTTTTTCATAATCGGGTTTGGTTAGAAAAAAAAATATCAACTTAAATTGAATTTGAAAAATTCTCGGGTTGGGGTTATGGGTTGATGGATTTAGCCTCGATACCGGACCGAATTAATAAATTCGGGTTTAACCCGATTTTCTTTTTGGTCTTTTACCCAGTTTTTGAATCGATAGGCGAACGGGGGAAAAGGGCACACTTCTCAATTTCTCACTTTTACGTCACTCTCTGTTTTCTCTGACGTCACCCCCTCAGCTACAGTAAATGACCTGCCTAATTCCATCTTCTCCCTCGTTCTCTCTCTGTTTCTCTTCCTTTCATTCACTCTCGCTGCCGTGGTTGATTCCTCTTGAAGGATCGCTGTGGCTGATAACAATGCCGAAGAGGTAGAACCGACACTTTCCCTCTTTCAATGCGCTTGGGCAGTCACTGTAATGAGGCAATGATCACTTGGAGCAATTTTTTTGAGACAATTTTGCATGTATTTATTGTATGAAGAACAAGATTCGGTTGTTTGTGGCAGGTTAGGCTTTGATTATTTCCATTGTATTGATTTTCTTCATCAATCTTTTCTTGTTGGTGTCCAAAACTGTGATTCAATGGTCTGTGATTGTTTGGTGGTTGTCTGATGGTTCTTTCTTGTAGAATTAGGTTTTTGATTATAGAAAGTTTGGTGATTTTTGGGATTCTAAAAGAAGGAGGGTTTTAATTTGATTAATCCAACTTCAACCCTTGTTTAAACCAGAAAATAGCCCACTTTCGTATCCCAAGCTCAACCCGAGTTCAAGCCCGGTTAAAGGTGGTCGGGTTGAATCTCGAGTTGGGTTGACCTCGGGTTAGAGTACCATATTTTGGGTCTTGCTTGGGTTAATCCTCCAACCCGCCCGAGTTGCATGAGAAACATTCGCCTTTCATATCTACACACTGCAAGTGTCACACATACATTAGTCTCTTTCATAAAAGCTCGAATCTTTGATCTTTTGTTGCGCTTTGTTCGATCTCTCTACAATCCAGGAGGTAGAGCCTATGCCTTATCAATGTTTTTTAATCATTCTTGCATGAATTTTGTTATATTGTATCTATTATTTGCTTCCAGATCTGCCTGTGCTCTGTATTTATGTTTCATTTGTGTATTTTTCACATATTCTACTCACATTTCTTTGAATATTTGGCTTATTTGTGCCTTTTTTACTTGAAAGTTGAATTTGTTTTGTTGTAATGGTTTCTTACATTCAAATTGTGCAGGTTATATAGAGTTTAGTTATATGCATATAGAGTGCTAGAGAGAGAGAAATGGGATATATTGGAGCTCATGGAGTTGCTGCACTGCATAGATACAAATACAGTGGAGTAGATCACTCTTATGTTGCCAAATATGTACTACAACCCTTCTGGAGTCGCTGCGTCAATTTCTTCCCTCTTTGGATACCGTAAGTGTTCCTGTCAATAGACCGCTCAGGTTTTCACGATTATTGATGATATTCATGTTTTATAACATATGCAAATCATGTTTGTGTTAAAATCGCACAAACGCATACGAAATGTGTTGTATTATGTTTGTGGGTTTAACTGGATGCTCAAACCATAAGCCAACACGTCCTTGGAAAAAAAGAATGTTATTTATAATGCTTATTTGGATTGATGGAGGGTTTTATTATGAAAGAGTTCATTACTCAGCTTGGTCCTCGATGTGCGAGATTGTTAGGGGAGAGATTGGGCACATGCATAATTCTTTGTATCATTTGCACAAAATGACTTCCTTTAGATTTGAATCCTCCATGTTTTGGGGGATTTGTATGTTGCAGTATGTATGACAATGCAAACTATAGCAGCGGTGACTGAGCAACTTCCTATCCTTGTGTTGGGCACATGGCTGCACTTGCTGAGAAACATCAAAGCGACCAACCTGATATGGTGTCTCCACAACCAAATGGGTTCATATATTTTTTTTTGCTAAAGTGTGGTTTACATAGTGTTGGTCTGCTGGGCCTTTAGATGGGATTCTAAAGTTTAAGAAACCCTTTTTTTTGGTCATTGCTGTCCCTATTTATCACGTTCTAAGATCTGGGTTTTATTATGCTCTTGGAGAAATTATAAGCCATTTTTGTACATATTTAAGCTTTTGTCCTGTTTGAAGTTATATATGACAGATAATTGTTACTTTTCATTTTTTTGTCTTCATGGTATCAGAGGCTAAGTAAGGGATGCTTCTAATTGATGTCTTGTTATTTGATTTCGTACTGCTAGTCTTGCAATCTTCCACTTCAAGTCACTAACTCCTCCTTTCTTTTGTCTGTGTGCATCTTGGATACTTTTCCAGACCTAATATGGTAATTCTTCTTTGCCACTAAGTTATCTTATCTTTTCTTCCTTGTTTGTTTGCTGCTGGGCAGTGATCTTATTTCTATTTGTTTCCAGATTACACTTACAGGGTTCATGTTTTTAGTTGCGTCTGCACTGCTTGGTTATGTGAGTAGGAGTTTCTTTATATCTTGTTTTTAATTAGTTAGGTATTAGCATAAAACTTGTTCTTAGAAGATTTTTTCCAGTCAATTAATTGTTCTGTGAGCACAGTTTCTTCCCCAAGTTTTATTCGAAGAGGTTGTTGTCTCAGATATATTCACCTCGCTTGGATTCGGCCCCACCAAGATGGGTTCATATTGCACATGGATTACTTCTCTTCTTATATCAGGTTTGTTTACTCAGTTTTTAATCGGGATTTGCATACCTTTTCTTATATATACTATTGGGTGTACTTTGTGTGCATGTTTGCTTGTGTTTATGGTTTGAATAGATAAACAAACGAAATTTGTTGTTTTCCGCGATCTAGTTCTTTTCATGTTAACTTGCATTCTTTTCATGTCATAGTTCTACATCCATATGGCTTGCTGTTTTGGTCTTATTGTGTTCATCGAATGTGAAGCCGATAGAAATGTTATATGGAGTAACAACTTCAAACTGAACTAGAGACTTAGTATCTTTAAAGTTCTGATGTTAGGCAGGCAAATATACCTTTTTGCTACAACTTTTCTACTCGATTTCGGAGGAGATCAGAAAAATTAGAACTATTAAATTTGAAAGAAGTCTTTGTGATATTTATAAGGTGACAGAAATGTTCCTAGCTTAATTTGTAGGAAATTGTGTAGTGTCCGCATAATGGGGATGACAATTTGTCTGTGTATAACTATATAATCACCCATTGTATATTGTATAGGGTCCAGGATAATTTCAGTTTTGGTTGGCCTGCTTTGATTATCTTATTGGTTTCTTGAAATTATTATGTTATTCTGTTTTGATTCTTTCAGCTATTCTTGGGGAATACATATAATATATGGCTCTTAGATTTAATTGTTTGGGGTTGTGGAGACTGTTCAATTACAGTTGTTTGAAAAAATGAGGTAAAGTAAAGGTTCAGCTCGACAAACAAACAACAACATTTTTATGCCCTGGGATGATATCTAGTACAGTTTTCCCACATTGGAATGGAACTAAAAATGTAGATATGAGCCCTCTATAGGGTAAGTTTAAAATATTTGCTTCTTAAGCCTTGTATACTTGAGAAGGTTGAGTGATGCTTTTGAGGAGACAATTGGAAGGTTTGATGACTACGTAGTTCATAATCATTCATTGAAGTTTCAAATTATCAAGTGCTCATTTTCTCCAATTAANTTGCAATCTTCCACTTCAAGTCACTAACTCCTCCTTTCTTTTGTCTGTGTGCATCTTGGATACTTTTCCAGACCTAATATGGTAATTCTTCTTTGCCACTAAGTTATCTTATCTTTTCTTCCTTGTTTGTTTGCTGCTGGGCAGTGATCTTATTTCTATTTGTTTCCAGATTACACTTACAGGGTTCATGTTTTTAGTTGCGTCTGCACTGCTTGGTTATGTGAGTAGGAGTTTCTTTATATCTTGTTTTTAATTAGTTAGGTATTAGCATAAAACTTGTTCTTAGAAGATTTTTTCCAGTCAATTAATTGTTCTGTGAGCACAGTTTCTTCCCCAAGTTTTATTCGAAGAGGTTGTTGTCTCAGATATATTCACCTCGCTTGGATTCGGCCCCACCAAGATGGGTTCATATTGCACATGGATTACTTCTCTTCTTATATCAGGTTTACTCAGTTTTTAATCGGGATTTGCATACCTTTTCTTATATATACTATTGGGTGTACTTTGTGTGCATGTTTGCTTGTGTTTATGGTTTGAATAGATAAACAAACGAAATTTGTTGTTTTCCGCGATCTAGTTCTTTTCATGTTAACTTGCATTCTTTTCATGTCATAGTTCTACATCCATATGGCTTGCTGTTTTGGTCTTATTGTGTTCATCGAATGTGAAGCCGATAGAAATGTTATATGGAGTAACAACTTCAAACTGAACTAGAGACTTAGTATCTTTAAAGTTCTGATGTTAGGCAGGCAAATATACCTTTTTGCTACAACTTTTCTACTCGATTTCGGAGGAGATCAGAAAAATTAGAACTATTAAATTTGAAAGAAGTCTTTGTGATATTTATAAGGTGACAGAAATGTTCCTAGCTTAATTTGTAGGAAATTGTGTAGTGTCCGCATAATGGGGATGACAATTTGTCTGTGTATAACTATATAATCACCCATTGTATATTGTATAGGGTCCAGGATAATTTCAGTTTTGGTTGGCCTGCTTTGATTATCTTATTGGTTTCTTGAAATTATTATGTTATTCTGTTTTGATTCTTTCAGCTATTCTTGGGGAATACATATAATATATGGCTCTTAGATTTAATTGTTTGGGGTTGTGGAGACTGTTCAATTACAGTTGTTTGAAAAAATGAGGTAAAGTAAAGGTTCAGCTCGACAAACAAACAACAACATTTTTATGCCCTGGGATGATATCTAGTACAGTTTTCCCACATTGGAATGGAACTAAAAATGTAGATATGAGCCCTCTATAGGGTAAGTTTAAAATATTTGCTTCTTAAGCCTTGTATACTTGAGAAGGTTGAGTGATGCTTTTGAGGAGACAATTGGAAGGTTTGATGACTACGTAGTTCATAATCATTCATTGAAGTTTCAAATTATCAAGTGCTCATTTTCTCCAATTAAAATAGTCTTCCCCAGCATCACCCTGACTGAGGTTTTGTGATGGGTTTTGCACGAGAGCGCTTTCCTGTAAAGGGGTATGTGCAGGTTCACTGTACTGCACTCTTTGACCACGTGTCATGGACATAGATCTGCAGAATTTGTTTTACAAATAAGTTTTAGAGTTTGGAATGAATTACTGTTATGGCAGGCCTCTTTGTACACGCCTTTTTGTTGACTTGCTTACTGTAATATGAATTATTGAATTGGCTGTAAAATTTATTGGCTTGAGAAACTGAATTACGTGTTGCTTTTAACCTGTTTTTGTTTCAATACAGCAGGGAACCATTTATTATAAGGTATAATTATGTGATGTCTTTTATATCTGTTCAGTCCTTAACCATGGGAGCATTTATCTCATTTTTTTTACCTTTTTTGGAAAATAGTAATATTACCTACCAGCTATCACCATTGATTTTACATCTTGTTTACTTTTTGACTTGGTCTTCGTTTTGTTGGAAATTCTTTTTCATACTCAGTGCCCAGATCAAAGATTCCTTTCCTATCCGTAATGTTTTTTCTGATCTTCGAATGCATGCCAGACTTTTGATGCTGTTGATGGAAAGCAAGCAAGAAGGACAAATTCCAGTAGTCCATTGGGAGAGCTTTTTGATCATGGTGATTTTTTTTCTCGAGTTCTTTCTTTCTTTGTTTCTTCCTTTTCAATACAAGTGCAGACTAATATCAGAATATATTTCTTGGCATCCACAACTGTGGCAGGATGTGATGCTCTTGCATGTACGGTACGTTCTTCATATCTCTAGAAGTCATCCTGTGGCCATGGCAAGTGTAAGGCCCTCAGGTTTTGCTTGATGTTATCAGTTTCATTCCTTGAATTTTGTTTTTGATTTCAGTTTGAGTCATTGGCCTTTGGGAGCACTGCGATGTGCGGAACAAGTACGTTTTGGTTTTGGGTGATATCAGCTGTTCCATTCTATTTCGCAACATGGGAACAGTAAGTGTTCCAAGTGGTACTGGCACAATACTTTCTGAGTCATTCTTGACGTTATGACTTATGTATTTCCTATTTCTTTTCCTTCTTGTTTTAATTTTTTTTTAGTTTTGGGCTGGGGTGAGTGGGTCAGCTGTTGTGATCTCTCAACTACATTAGGACACAGGAATGGTATTTGGCGACCCTTCTTTATCTCTGAAGGAGGACTGATCTTACATCTCAGTTAATTCATATCTGGCTCCATAAAACACAGGAATACTGACTATTGTTAAGCTTTAAGGTCTAAGGAACAAAATTCCTTCATAGACAAGGGTATTTTTGTGGGTGTTATACTTTTGAGTTGATGAGTTTCAATGGATGGGACAGACTTGAGATATTAGATTCTAAAAAGTTCAGGTAGTTTTTTACCCCAACAGTTCTTGAGAATTTTTTAATATTTGATGACTAATATGCTGTTAACTGGAATTCATGTTTGTGGTTTCTCATTTTCTTTTGATTATGTATTATTTCGGTAAAATCATGTTATTAGATTAATTATAATTCTTTTAAGATCTGCACTTCATCTGTATTTGCCTTGCCTGAGTCACTTTATTGTTGGTCTCATTGACGCTGCTTCCTTGATGCAGCTATTTCACCAATACCCTTATTCTTCCGGCAGTAAATGGACCTACAGAGGGTCTCATGTTGATATATCTTTGCCATTTCTTTACAGCTATAGTTGGTATATGCCCCATTTTAATCCTTGAGCATTAATTTGTATGTACATAACTACTAAATACTTTCTCTGTCACTGATCTTCTCTCTCCTTTATTTTAACATGAGTCCATTTCTCTTTTAGGTGCTGAGTGGTGGGCTCAACAGTTTGGAAAGTCCGTGCCTTTCTTGAGTTGGGTTCCGTTTATAAATGGTAAGACTGGCATAAATAGTGCTATAATGGTAAACTCAGTTTATCTGTATTTCCTCTTGATGTCCTTTTTACTCCATGATGCAGTCAGCTGTTGTAAATTGTTCTATTTATAACCGGGTTTCTTGCTGAAAGATATGTTCACAATTTTAATCAGTTGAATATATATAATTGTTTTCTGTTTTGATTTCAGAAATTCCAATTTATGGAGTTGTGTTGCTACTAATGATAACCTTTGCTGTTATACCAACTGTCTCATGCAAGTGAGTATTTTTTCATATTGCTTATGCCAATATTGTGATCTCTATGTTGTTTATATCTAGACTGCCTGTTCTACCATATTGATCACGTAAATCTGAAGGTTCAGTGCTGGGTTTTAAGTTGGTGATCTACACTGCTGGCATACATAAGAATATAACTGTTACTGTAATGAATTCTGTTGTTTTTTAAGTTTGTTGGACATGGACTTGAATCCATATCCATTATCACTCAGCTGTGTTCAAGTAGTTAGCTTGACAGAATAGATAGAACTATAGCAACTTTGCTGAATTACACTGCAGGAATACAGTAGTATACTGCAGTTCGTGTCACCTAGTTGGACTTGGACTTGGACTTGAATCCATGTTTGTTTGCTCAGCTGTGCTCAAGTTGTTAGCTTGACGGGCTGGACATAACTATGACAACTTCAAACAATCTCACTCAGTGCTGGCTTTGTATTAGGACAACCTCAGTTTGTCTGTGTTTCAGACCAAAGATTGTTCACACTCGAGCTCACATTTGACTTCTAAATCATTACTTTGTAACGACAGCTTGAACTTGCTTTAAGTGGTGTTTTACTTTTGTGCAGTGTGCATAATGTTTATAAGGTTGTTCAGGCAAGAAAAGGGAGCATGCTACTGGCACTTGCCATGGTAAACAGGTTCTGTATAATATATTTTCATTTCTTATTTCCAGATTGCTGAATGAAATTGATGTTATTTTTTCTTGTCAGCTTGTCCCGTTTGTGGTGCTCATGGGAGGAGTCCTGGTTTGGTATGCATCTCCCTGTGCTTTGTGCTTGTCACATGCTTAGCTTTTGAGGATCACTTTGGTTTTGATTTAGATTGTATCTTTTCACGTAGGGATTATTTGTCTCCAAATGATTTAATGGGGAATTATCCACATTTCATTATAGTGGGAACTGGACTTGCGTTTGGATTCCTTGTGGTAAGATATCTGTGTATGAATCTGTTTTTTAAACCATTCTTATATGGTCATAGAGAGAGGTGCTTGGTGAAATCGAAAATTTTCGGGCTATGTTTGGATGGCAAAAATTAAGAGCTGGAATGAGAATTTTATTCCTTTTATACTTCATTCCTATGCGTGATATCTGCTATTATTAGGTGGAATCTCATCCTACAAAATGTTGTATCTCATTTTGACCTACTGCATCCAATGCTTGAATGAAATTGCACCTGCAATTTCATTAGTTGGAATCTTATCCCTAGTAATGGTATTTCATGCCTTATATCTCATTCCTGCCATCCAGATGGAGCCTCAAGTTTGAAAAGTGTGTTTTGGTCATGTGGTAGCAGTTTCTGAAATTGTCTGTAAATTTTTTTTTGTGGTCCTTCCCCTAGCATGGTAAATTAAATGGCCTCTTTGGCTCTTAATCTATGATTCTAGATGCTGTACAGTAGTGTTTATAATCACACCACAAAAGAGAAAACTTGAACTCTACTGCTAGGAAAATCTAGCTTAGTATTTTCGTGGAGAAATTTAATGATAAATTGAGTTGTAGATATTCGAATCCATAAGCAACAATAAAATTAATGCTTTTTAGATCCGATATAAACTATATCTTTGGGAGAACTCGATATTGGTTATAATGAACACATGCATTTTAAAGTGAGTGTTTGTGTAAACATTGTTGCTTCTTGCGATTATGTAAGAGCTTGGTATCAAATATATTCATCCAGTCATGTGTACTGATTGCAAATGCATCCTTGCTGAGTTTACGCCTTTCTCTACCTTGTTACTGTACAGATTATTATGGTGCTCTCTTCAAAAATACCCCTCGGGTACTATGGTTGTAGAAGCTAAAATTCTTACTGTCCTGTTCATGAAAGGAAGTATTTTTTTGGCAGGGAAGGATGATTTTGGCTCATTTGTGTGATGAACCTAAGGGCTTGAAAACTCATATGTGCATGGTATGTCCCAGGAATCTTGATGCGATACTGTACTTTCAAATCCGTTAGTTTTACATTGAGAAAACATAAAAGACTATGAAAGTTATATAACATTAGAGCAGTGTCATATGGGCACAATTGTAACACCATTTTGCTTTCTGTTTTAAACCAAGTGATCATCATCATTTTTGTAAATGCCAGTAGTAGCCTTAGCACGTGCCCGTTTGTATTGATATTTCCAGCAGGTATATTTGTAAGAAGAATTTTCCTAAAACACATCAAGCAGTTATTGTGGTAATTGATTTAAACTAAGTTGGTTAGGGTTGGCAGAATCTGTGCAGTCTGCGTTTCTTGACCTGTGTTCTTCCTGTTTACCGACAATATAACTGTTTAAATCTTCCCTCTTTTTGATTCTGAGCTACAGGATGAACCTGAACTAATTTATTTGGGGTAATCTGAGTTAGATATTGAGCACCTGTCTTTTGCAATTAGCATCTTACAAATATGCCACATTTGTTTTAGTTGAATACATATTTCGTTGGAAAAAATGTCCCATCTTCTGATATCATTTTATAACTTATTGTGATTTCTTAATGCTGGGGCAAACTTGCAAAGAATATGGATATATGGCAGGTACAAAGGCTTGTTTTAGGAAATATGCCACCCTAAAATTAACTAGGTATCTATCACTGAAGATTCAATGTAATAAAGCAGTGTGCAATGGAATGCATAGAGCTGAGTATATAATATAATTTTGCTGAAAGCCACACTGTAAGTGGACTTGACTAAATATTAAAGTTTCGTTTTCCTTCACCGTCTCACAAATTTGTTACATTCTTTTATTTTTTTTTCCAACATTGCATGTTTTGGTTGTTAGGGCTTATTAAAGTGTTCCATGAACTTTTTAATCTATCAGTGAGAAGACAAGGAAACAAGTCTATGCTTTATTTCTCCTTTCTGAAGTGTCTGGTTAACTGTGTAACTGATTTATGTGTCATTTTGCAGTCTCTGTTCTATCTTCCTTTTGCCATTGCAAACACACTCACTGCCTGGCTGGATGAAGGGTATGTGGTAATTTGGTTATCCTAGCTCAGCTTAATAAACGCTAGAAGCAATTCTTCTGGTCCACTTTTCCACTATAAGAATTGGGAGAACACACAAGATGCCTTTTACATGTATTTACATCTACCGTGAGACTCATGTTACTTTTATACATTCATTAAAATCTTTGTTTTTGTACCAGAATTCCTTTAGTTGATGAGAGTTGGGTTCTTCTTGGTTACTGTGTATACACAGGTATGACAGCTTCTCCCTTTCTTCATTCTTGTGTATTGTTGTTTGCCTTTGTTTTTTGCTGGTGTTCTTTTTTTGACAATTCTCTTTTGCTGTGCGCAGCGGCACTTTATCTGCACTTTGCTACATCTGTTATTCACGAAATAACTACAGCCCTAGGAATCTACTGTTTCAGGTGAGAAACGTGGTGTTTTATTTATGTTTGAGATTTGATGCCTTCTTGGTTAGTTCTGGGACAAGGTGTCCCATGTTGCCATTTGATGTTGTCTTAGAATTTTCTTTAAAATGGTGAAAAATTGGTTACTCATATTTCTTTTACTTTCAAATGACAGAATAACAAGGAAAGAAGCTTGATATGAGGTAATGATGCATTACATGTACGTCTGTCCAGGTTCTTGGTTGTATTTCTTGAGATTTAATTGGGTACTTTTATTACCTTGGCAATTGTTTGCATCATGCTAATATATTGCAACTCCACTAAATTTATCCATCTGTTCATTATACTTTTGTTTTCAGCTGGCAACTTGGGATATATGCCGCAGAGTGTAGGTTTCTTGGCTTGACAGTATTTACAAAATTTTGACAGGGTCCAGGACACAGGTTCCAGTTCAATACTCTTCATTCTTGTAATGCATTATGAATTACTTTGGAGTTGGTCATTGGAGATGTCACTTCATCCGAATTAAATATTGGATTAGTTCTTATCTTACTCATGTTTGAGGGGGTGCTGGTTTTTTTTGGAGAGAGAGAGAGAGAGAGAGTCCACATGCTTTTAACATATATGCGGGACATTTTTTGAAGTTGAGGGGTGATGCTGTATCGATATCATGTTGGGTTGGTGGACAAGAAATTACATTGGTTGGTACGATTATTGTTTCAATTGTATGTTTCTGTCACTTGAAAACAGAAATCCTAAACGTAATCGAAACGAATGAACATTTAGAGATATTTTTTTTTTCTTTGGTCAGAGAACATTTAGAGATGACTTGTACAATTTCTCTCTCTTATTAATGGTCCTATTAGAAGAAAAAAAAATAGGTTCTATGTTCTTGTTGACCTAATGTATCTTTACACATGTAAAGAATAGTGATGTGGGTAAATTTGGCACTTTAAGGTGCAAGGCCATTGTTGACGGCGAATCCTCACCAAGAACACCCTCCCAGGTACTTTTTGAACCCACCATGAACAGCTTGTTTTGTTTGAGAGTCGACAATAATCAAAGCATCTGGTTTCTTTCGATCGGAATGTAATAGAAGATAGAGGATAACTTCTATTTGATGACCGAGGAGGTCAAATACAGCAGTTATAGGAGTCGTTATTACAGGAAATTAATGTGGAGCCCTTCCTGGACTCTTCTACCTCTATTATAAAGCTTACATTTACATAAATTCTGTGTCTTATATGGTAGTTCTCATGTTTTATATCACGCTTCTATATACAACTACACAGCCTCTCCTCTCTCCCTTATCTTTTGCATCCAGCAACTTTTCTCCTGCGTCTAAAGTAGGAAAAATGGATGATCTGTCCATGAAAACTCGTTACCAGCAATATGGGGCTAACAGCATTGATAATGATCATGGTTTACAGATCGAGCTCCCCTATGATATCATGTTTTAGCAGTTTTACGATATACTTCCAAGACTTCAAGTGAAATCTCTAGTGCGATTCCAGTGTGTTTGTATCAGGGTGCTGCTTTTTAACCTGTAACAATCTTTTCTTTATTGACCTTAACCTATCACTTTTCCGGTCTCGAATTTTTTGGTAGTGAACTCCTAATCACTGTTCATGACAAGCAGTTGCAGCGCGAAATATTAGTACAAGCAGATCTCAAAGGAGGTATTAGGGGTACTCAACTGTTAACTGTGCACAATGAAACGAACGAGCGTCTCTGTCTATCTGAAAGCATTAAAGGCTTGGTATGTTGGCACCAGACCGGTGGGACTAATAACAATATTTGTGCATATATTTGTAATCCTAGCACCCGCGAACTCATGAAACTACCCATCTGTCCTGAATTCTTAAGTAGTTGTCAAGATGTCGATAAACCATTTGTTTCTTATTATTTTGGATTCGTTCCATGCTCAAAGGAAGTCAAAGTGCTGAAAATCCGAGTTACTTTTCTCGGTCACCTAGAATGCAAAACAGCCTTNTGAAGTTGAGGGGTGATGCTGTATCGATATCATGTTGGGTTGGTGGACAAGAAATTACATTGGTTGGTACGATTATTGTTTCAATTGTATGTTTCTGTCACTTGAAAACAGAAATCCTAAACGTAATCGAAACGAATGAACATTTAGAGATATTTTTTTTTTCTTTGGTCAGAGAACATTTAGAGATGACTTGTACAATTTCTCTCTCTTATTAATGGTCCTATTAGAAGAAAAAAAAATAGGTTCTATGTTCTTGTTGACCTAATGTATCTTTACACATGTAAAGAATAGTGATGTGGGTAAATTTGGCACTTTAAGGTGCAAGGCCATTGTTGACGGCGAATCCTCACCAAGAACACCCTCCCAGGTACTTTTTGAACCCACCATGAACAGCTTGTTTTGTTTGAGAGTCGACAATAATCAAAGCATCTGGTTTCTTTCGATCGGAATGTAATAGAAGATAGAGGATAACTTCTATTTGATGACCGAGGAGGTCAAATACAGCAGTTATAGGAGTCGTTATTACAGGAAATTAATGTGGAGCCCTTCCTGGACTCTTCTACCTCTATTATAAAGCTTACATTTACATAAATTCTGTGTCTTATATGGTAGTTCTCATGTTTTATATCACGCTTCTATATACAACTACACAGCCTCTCCTCTCTCCCTTATCTTTTGCATCCAGCAACTTTTCTCCTGCGTCTAAAGTAGGAAAAATGGATGATCTGTCCATGAAAACTCGTTACCAGCAATATGGGGCTAACAGCATTGATAATGATCATGGTTTACAGATCGAGCTCCCCTATGATATCATGTTTTAGCAGTTTTACGATATACTTCCAAGACTTCAAGTGAAATCTCTAGTGCGATTCCAGTGTGTTTGTATCAGGGTGCTGCTTTTTAACCTGTAACAATCTTTTCTTTATTGACCTTAACCTATCACTTTTCCGGTCTCGAATTTTTTGGTAGTGAACTCCTAATCACTGTTCATGACAAGCAGTTGCAGCGCGAAATATTAGTACAAGCAGATCTCAAAGGAGGTATTAGGGGTACTCAACTGTTAACTGTGCACAATGAAACGAACGAGCGTCTCTGTCTATCTGAAAGCATTAAAGGCTTGGTATGTTGGCACCAGACCGGTGGGACTAATAACAATATTTGTGCATATATTTGTAATCCTAGCACCCGCGAACTCATGAAACTACCCATCTGTCCTGAATTCTTAAGTAGTTGTCAAGATGTCGATAAACCATTTGTTTCTTATTATTTTGGATTCGTTCCATGCTCAAAGGAAGTCAAAGTGCTGAAAATCCGAGTTACTTTTCTCGGTCACCTAGAATGCAAAACAGCCTTTCATATTTTTAATCTAGGTGGTAGTTCGCTATGGCGGCAGTCATCCCGCCTTGCCTTTTGATTTTGGTGAACTTAATCGGTTGCCTTGGTTGACACACTCTGTATGCCTCGATGGTGCATTGCATTGGGTACTTGATGCAATAAAAGCTATACTGGTTTTCGATTTGAGAGACGAAGAGTTTCATGTTATTCGGCTCCCCAACATGGGCATGTACTTGGATCCACCCCAGATTGTTCTACTCCAAGTTGATGGACATTTGGTAGCAATAAGTCTCGGTTATGGTTCGAATTATGAAAAAATAGACATAATGTGGACATCGAAGGACTATCGAAACAAGGTTTGGATCAAGGATACCATTTTCATTCCATTGCGATGGTGGAACGATTGTGTTGTTTCTGCCATACCTGCATCAGGGAAGATCTTACTGATACCGATTCGGTCATTTGGAGGTATATCAATGGGGGAGGGCTACTTAGGATTTTATGATGCAAAGCAGAAAATTTTTCAGTATGTTAAACTTGTTGAATTATCTGAAGGGAGGTTTCTTGTTTTTGGAGCTGTGAATAATTACACTGAAAGCATCTTCTCATTGAGGGAGCTACCAACAAGAGAATAAGCTCTCTTTGAGCACAGCAGCAGTAGTTAAAAGTTTTACTCTAGAAGAGAAAGAGCAATCTTCTCTATTATATTTTCACTTAATTTCGTTCAATAGTAGATATAGTACAGTCCGAGAAGTTCCATTACAAAGGTGACAAATAAACTTTTAGCAGTGTGGCAACAATGAATCTTGTTTTTTTTTTTTTTCCTTTTAGTTTTTCATATTTGAATGCCAAAATAGAAGTCGTTTGAATGTATGTCTTATATCTATCTAATATTACAGCTACAAAGTTGAATTTTCTCAACTTATAAAAACACAACAACGATCAAGATTAATTTAATTTTCATCTATTTTGATCTAATGGTAGAAAACTCCTTCCAAAATTTCTTTTTCTCTCTCCCCATATCTATTTCTTATTTTATTTTTTGTTAATTTTATTTTAAATTCTGTGATTAAATAGAAAAAAAGCAAGTGTCTTCGGACATGGATTATTGCTGGTATATTTATATAAATTAGGTGTACCTAATTTGTTGACTTAATATATTCCAAATTTTCAATAACTATTGATTGGATTGGTAGCGGGTGTCAATGAATATTGAAATCTATTATCAATCCAATGGTTATGAGTGAGCAAATAAGATCAATAAATTAAATTTAAATAACATTACTCTTGTATAATTTGTAGTCTAAAGTATACAATAACTGTACAACTCTCGCCCTGAAGGGTTACAAAAGTATCAGTAGTGGCAACTTAAAAAGAAATGATTGAGGTGACTCAATTCTACATTGCATATGGTACTGTGAGTTTCGGACCTTAATTGTACAACAAATTTTAAAATTTTACATAACTAATTCAATAAAGATATATAGTACATCACTGTATACTCCAAAAGCACAAACAAAAATTTAGAATTTCAATTCACAAAACTTAGATTATACATTCCAAAATATAGGAACTCTGATTTTTTGTCATCGATTTATTTTGGTTCTCACTAGAATAAAAAAGTTTTAGTTGAATGGGATTTTTTTTTTTGATCCTAGGGCTTGAAGATAGAGGATGATACTCTTGTTTGCTGGCCTAGGTCAATAAAGCAAGGAGCTATGCTATTTAGAAAAAACTTATTAGCAATTTGATAACCTATGATACGATAAAAAAATAAAATTAATAAATTAGGTTCAAGTAATATTCTTGTAAAAAAATTAGAGTAATTGAAATTGTACAGATATATCCACACAAAGGGTCACCACCTTCGATGGACTTGTTTATCTTTACACAAATCTGTATCTTGTGGGAATTCTCAATTTTATTTCGTAAACGCTTCTATATAAAGTGAATTGTCCCATTCTATACTTCATATATTCAGTCAATTTTCTGTAGCGTACAAGAGAATTAGAAGAATGGACGATGATTTCTACATGAAAACTCAAAAGGGGTATTCTAGGGCTAATCGCAGTGATAACTCTAATGCTTTGTGGACACGACTCCTCGATGATATCATTTTCTATGATATACATATAAGACTTCCTGTGAAATCTCTCTTACGATTTTGGTGTGTTTGTGAATCATGGCGGTGCTTCTTAATACGAGCGATCCTTTGTTCATTAACCTCCACTTATCGTGTTCCCATGCTCGGCTTGCTGGCGCTAGATTCTTACTTTCTATTCATTACGCGCTTTTGCAGCGCTACATGTTGTTATTAGCCGATAAATAAATGAACTTAATAAGTCTCTCGTATAAACGAGTTAACATAAATCCACTAAACACGAAACAATTCTATTAAATATAACTTATATATAGTACAAATTTGAGTATACAAGATTATAAATGGAACAAGTATAAATAGAGTCAATTTTGATATAACACAACCGAATGAATGTTTTTTTTATTACCTTTACTTTTTCAATTTTACCTATTTTTTTTTTTATGTAAATACTGAATAAATGAGTCATTTCAACACACAATACTTTACGTTATGTGAGACAATTCTAATTTTTTTTATTCTTGAAAATTCTAAACAACTTTAAGATGAGTTCTTTAATTTTAAAACATATTGAAGGAATATTTTAGAGGATCCTAAAAAGGATTTATTATTTTAACCTTATCCAAGGAATATTCTAAAATATACCAAAAATATAAGGAGAATTATAAGGAAAATCTAAAATGTTCTAAAAAATATTAAAAGATTAGATATTGGCACAAAAAATTCTCAAGACACTATAAATGTATATCATTTGACAATAGTATAGTCATTTATGGTAAGATGAATGGCCTCTAAATATGTGGGAGTTTGCATTTGCAAGAACCAACAGGCATGCAACTAAGTCTTAACTTAAATTCATGTCTTTTTTGTCTGCGTCGGAGCTTTTACTTAGTTATTTTATTTTCAACACACAACAAACACACAAAATAGTTAAAAAACAAAATGGGTTAAAGTAGTTTGCTATTCAAAAATCCTACTAACATTTATCATTTGAAAAATTATTTTTCTATCTTAACAAACTTCAATTCTTTTTCTCTATGTTTTTAATTTTATTATATTTTGGTACACAAATTCAACTTTAATTAATGGAATTATATATGAAAAACTTGAATAAAAAATTTGAATTTATATTTTTGTATGTCAAAAATAATAAAAATATTTTTAAATAAATAATATTAATATTAGAATAATTATTTTGTTGTATTTATGTTATATTGTCATGGGGCCTCATTTAATATTTTTACTTGAGGCCCAACTATGGGTGCGAATGACAGACAATTGCAACGTGAAATGTTAGTTCAAGCACATATCAAGGGAGGTAGTAGAGGTACTCAAGTCTTGACTTTGCACAATGAAACAAATGAGCATCTCTATCTATATGAAAGGATTAATGGCTTTGCCAGACCAGTTGGAGTAATAACAATATGTGTGCTTATATTTGGTATTGGCCAAGAGGTCGAGAAACCATACGCGAGTTGCTTTTCTCAGTCATCTAGAATGTGAAGAAGCCTTTTATATTTTTCAATCTGGGTGGTAGTTTACGGTGACGATGGATTCATTCCACCTTATCTCTTGATTATAGTAAACTTCTTTGGTTGCCTTGGACACTCTGTGTACCTCGATGGTGCTTTGTATTGGATCCTTGATGCAATGAAAGTTATACTGTTTTTTGATATGATGCAATAAATTTTTTCCATTTTTTTGGGATATGTTTCAAAATTTTTAGAAACTATTGAAATTTGATAACTAAAATTAAAAAATTTTAATTTTACATTAGATTTAATTTAGTGACGCATATATGGTTTAATATATATATATATAATACTACGAAACCACACTATGAAAGAATTTCTAGTTTCTATTAAAATAAGATAATCAAAATTCCTTTATTTTAATTGTCAAATTTCAAAAGTTTCCAAAAACTTTGAAATATATCCTTAAAAAAATGAAGAGGATTTATTTTGAGTTTTGATTTCCTATATATATATATATATATATATATATAACACCCATGACTTTAACCTTAGGTATAAAATTATCAGGTCAAATTGTCAAATTGGTAAAAGAGACCCAATCTCTAATACTTATCTATAGGATTTACTATAAATGCATGATTACAAACCTGAATGTGCATGAAATAAAGAAGCATCCTAAAGATAAAATAGTGCTCATCCAAGCCAGTACTAGTGATTATAACATCCAAGTTCCTAAAAGACTTGAATGGAAGAATGTTCAACTTCCAGAATCATAGACAGTTGAAAATGAAAATTACAATAAGGATAGTGAAAACACTACAGCTAATTTTGAAAACATCCAACAGTTATCTAATGGATTAGTAAGAATCTCTTTTGATTCTGCCAGATCTAGCAGATCCAGCAGGTCATTTAGGAAACCTATCCAAATTAATGAAAGAAGAAAATCTGATGTTTATTGTAGTATCTCCAAAAGAGATAAAGAATTAACATAAGAAATTGAGAGAAAATTTAATCTAAAAGGAATTGATCATTTCACACCACAAATTAATAGACCGTGCTACACTCCACATCAGAGTGTTCCACAAACCAGTCATAGAAACGAAGAGGAGGAAGATGACTTCACCCCTTCACCAACAGCCAGTGATCTTCAGAGTACTGTCCCAGTTAATTATCAGTTACTCATTATTAGGAAAGAAAATGAGTTATTCTTACCTAACATGATAAATTAGGAAAAGATTTTAAATCTGTTGAAAATGAATCTAAAAGGCTAAAGTACTTTAAAAGATTCAATAGTAATCAGCACAAAGAAATAAATGGCACAATGGGTTTCGTTAATGCACAAAATAGAAGCAGAAATTCTATTTTTTGATTTCTTAAAAACCTATCATCCAGAAGTCAAAGTAGTAACAAAACATAAGTGGAAGACTTTTGATAACTCTACAAAGTCGTCTAGTCATCTCCCAGTAGAAACTATATTAGTTAATTATCTAGACTCAGAAATTAAAGCTTCACCTTTCAAGAAACCCACAGATGATTCTGATAAAAAGGTGATTGAGCAAAATAATTTCAGTAACCAAAGTCTAATAACTATAGGGAAACAACTTGATAAAATTGAAACTAAAATCGATGAAATCAAGTCATCTTCTAGTAAAAAATTAGAGAAACCTCTAATTCATTTACCTGAAGATAGATCCGGTCTAGGATAAAGAGATAAGCAAACAATCCAAAAGATTGAAGAACTAATCTCTAAACAAGAATCCAAATCTGGATCATCTCAAGTAATAGTTATCAACCAATCTTCTGATAATTCAGAACTCAGTAGCTCAGAAAGCTCACTTGATTCTGAAATTGAAAAATTAGAAGAACAGTTTGAAAACCTAAAAATTAACAAATTAACTTTTTCAAAAGTTAATCCAACCAGTACTAGTAAAAATTGGTATTCAAGACCAACACCACCAGATCTTCAATTTGAAGAAAAAAATATTAGTAATCAATTTTCAGTTCAATCCAATAAACTTTATGAATGAAACATAAAGTGAACAAGGAATCCTTAACAAAATTAGTCACATTTCCATGGTAGCCAATAGTTATGTCTCAAACCTTGACCTTACTGAACCAAAATTACTTGACATGATCACCTCTGGTTTCATAGGAGTGTTAAGTAATTGGTGGACTAATTATCTTACCCAAGCATCAAGAGACCATATCAAGTATGCTGTTGTTCTTGATGATGAAGGTATGCCAATTTTTAATGAAAGAATTGGTAAAGCAAAAGATGATGGGATTAACACTCTCATCTTCACCATAATCAAACATTTGTTGGCACACCCAGTAACATTGAAGCTAGAGTCCATGACCAGCTTAGTAACCTCAAGTGTCTGACACTTAGTGATTTTAAATGGTATAAAGATGTATTCATCTCCCAAGTTATGCTTAGACCAGATTGTGATAAATCTTTTTGGAAAGAGAAATTTATCAATGGTCTACTTAATCTCTTTGCTCATAAAATTAGTAACGCATTTAGTAAAGAAACTGGAATCGTTGAATATGATTCATTAACCTACGGTGAATTTGTTAGTATCATCCAAAAGGAAGGCTTTAAGATGTGTATTGACATGAAAATTCAAAATTAATTAAAAAATGAAAAGAAAAAGGCTAAATATTAAATCGATAATTTCTGTGAACAATATGGTCTTCCTTCAGTAGCACCATTCCTCAGGAAAATCAAATCACACAAGTCTTACAGTCGTAGTAAAAGTCAATACAAACATAGTAAAAAGACTTTTAGTAAACCCTCGTATTATGACGAATCTAGCAAAAAATTCAGAAAAACTTATAAGCATAAAACTTATAAGAAAAAATCCGGGGAACAAATTAGTAAAAAAGATACAAATATTAATTGTTATAACTGTGGCAAAAAAGGCTATAAAAACCCAGATTATTCAGTTAAAAAACAAGTTAATAGATTGAACTTAACCACACTTATTTATAACAATAGTTAACAAGTTAAAAACAGTTAAATGTTATAACTCTTATTTATCTCTCTCATCTCTTGCTTGAACTACACTTTTTGGAACATAATATATTATTTCATTATTATTTTTATGTTTTTCTTATTTGTTTGTATGTTCTTCATGAAAATTGTGGTATTAGATCATGGACTATCAGTATATATTCATAATTTTTTGTCATCTTGTGAATTATTTTATTATTTTTTATGATTCATAATTTGTTTATATATGTAACGCTCACATACTATTTTATTGTGTTTTATTTTCTTTGATAATAACTTTATTGATTTTTTTTATATTAATTAATTTTTATTGTGGATCATTTATGAGAATGAACAATTTAAGTAGTTGGTGTTTTTTTATTGAAATAGGAACAAAATCGAGTTTGAGATAAATAGAAAATGTGTTTGATTTATTTTAATTTGTAGAAGAGAGAGATACTTATTATACTTTTTTATTAAAGTGTTAACTTTTTATTATCCTTTAATAAATATGTATGTGTAATGCATATTTGTAAGGTGGACTTCACTTATAAACCTAAATTTTAAATTTTATTTTGACTTAATCTTATAAAAAAAAATTTGGTAAATTAAATTATAATGAGTTTTAATTTTTGATTTATGCTAAATTAGTGAACATTAAAAATTCAGACATTTTTTATATGTGGGCCTAAAGCCCATGCTTTTTCCACTCCATTGTTGAGCCGGCCATGTAATGCAGAGAAAGAAAGCAACCCAATCCTGGGAGGAGTGTACGTAGAACCGCCTCTCTTCTCTCTCCAACGGCTGCAGGTGAGTACAGTTTCATACATGAAAGGAAGAAGAATGGATCATACCTTTGTGAAAACGTTAGAAAACCATAGCAGATCCAATGATGATCATGATCATGATCATAGTCATGGTTTATGGATTCAACTCCCTGACGATATCTTATTCGATATACTTGTAAGACTTCCGGTTAAATCTCTCATGCGATTCCAGTATGTTTGTAAATCATGGTATTTTTTCTTGACCTGCAACGATCCTGCTTTTATTGACCTCCAATTATCACGTTCTCAGTCTCGACTCAGTGGCACCAAACTACTTATCTCTACTAGCAGCTTCGGTGAGCGCCAGTGCCGATGTTTCCAGAGTTTATTATTAGTAGACCTTGAGAAGGGAGATAGGAACGGTAGGGCCACTCAACCTTTAACCATGCCCTGTAATCCACACCACTCTTTCAGCCTCTCTGAAAGCATTAAGGGCTTGGTCTGTTGGCACCAGAGGGGTTACACTAAGAAGATCATGAGCATATATATTTGTAATCCTAGTACTCGTGAACTCATGAAACTTCCCGTAGCTCCTCAGAATCAAGTCACGAAGACCAATATGCATGTCTATTATTATTTTGGCTTTGATCCATCTTCAAAGGAATTCAAAGTGCTGACCATCCAATTTGCTTCTTTTCCTTGGCACTGTGGAGTGGCCTTTTGGATTTTCACTCTAGGTGGTAAATCATGGCGACAGATACATCCTCCTGACTCGCCTTTCGGTTTGGATAATGACGAACCTCCTTGGTTTATAGAGTTGGAAAACTGTGTCTGTCTCCATGGTGCATTGCACTGGATCAGGATGCTTAAGCAAAAGAAAGCTATAGTGGTTTTTGATCTGAGAGATGAGAATTTTCATGCAATTTCAATCCCTAACATCAATTCCCCGTTTATGCTACTTCAAGTTGATGGACATTTGGTTGTGTTAAATCTCCTTCAGGGTGTCTTGCACACACGGGAGGTGGAGATGTGGACACTGGAGGACTATACAAATGAGGTTTGGATCAAAGACACTGTTATCCTTCCTTCTAATATCTGGTGGAGGCTGCGCGAATATAATGTTTTTGGTATACCTACAGGCACAATCTCGAGAATACCATCTTCGTTATTGGAAGAGCGATCCTTGTCATGGGGCAAGAGCGATTTTGGTGTATTTTGTTACGATGCAAAGCAAAAAAGTATTCTAGAGGTCCAAATTCCTGAGTTATATGAAGGGGGGATTTCTGGTATTAATTGTGTTATTAGTTATACTGAAAGCTTTGTACATCCTCTCTGAGCATGCAACCAACAAATGAATAAATTATCCTTGAGCAGCCATGGTTATTAAAAGTTCTACTCTGGAACAGAACACATAGAGATGATTAGTTAATCACAGAACCAAAGGGTTGGAGGAGCTGCGTCTAGAATGACAGGAGAAGATTAGTTAATTAATAACTAAAATCATATTAGCCCTCTTTTTGTTGTTTCTGATTTTAGTTGTTTGAATTGAATTGAATTGAATTGTTTTTGATTTTAGGTTATTATTCCTCCTTAGAGGACTCATATGACATTGTGAGACATTTTTATTGATTAAATTTATGAAGCAGCATTTTTGAATTGTGTTGCTGTAATTATGTTGGAGCAGGAGTTAATTGACAGATAAATAGCACGCTTTCTCTTTCCTTTTTGCATACTCAATTGCCAAATAAATTTCAAACAATCTCTTTGATCCAACCATTCAAGAGAAGAGTAGACACCTTTGGAGTACACAAATCATTGATTTCTGCTCTCCATTTGTGCTATCCAGCTTGAAATCCAAATTGAATTGCAAGGAGTACCTCTTGTTAAGAGGGCTATTGAGGACCTTGAAAAGCCTACAAAGCCGATTTTTGGTGGAAAGTTGAATGAAATTTGTTCTGGCCAAGTAATATCAGAAGAAGCAAGTCCTGATTGATAGCAGGACCTCGATTCATCACCGACAGGTAGAGACATTTTCTAATTTCACACTTGCTATAAGTAACTCATGAATTTTATGGAAAAGTTGAATTGTTTGTGTGATATTGAAAGTAATGCAAACTGATGTGTTTTTGTGGGATTGATTTCAGTTTTCTATGAATGGATTTGGAACATGACAATTTAGAATGCTCTGGCTTTCAAAAGATGATTAAGGGAGGGGGAGGGTAGGGGACAAAGCCCCTAGAATTGAATATTCAGATCTTATTTTCAGTGGAAGAGAACTGAAATCTATTGATTGAGTAAATTCAGCAGAAGTGAGTTCTTAATGAATTTTATTTAAAGATTTGTCACTGCGCTATCCACTGGCCATTAAACTTTTGGGCCTAATGAATATGAGTCATCCATGATTTCCACCACCAAGCCAAGGCAAAAGAAATCCTCTAATCAAAGTGAACTGCATAGGGACACAACAAGGAAATCGGGCCTAATCTGGTAGAAGTACTGATTGCTAGGACAGTACTTCTGCAGAACTAGTCCTTAAGTGATTCAAATATCCCAATTCACATCCATAGATAACACGAATAACGAAAGAGCAGCAAATCCACAGGCTTTGAGATCTGCCGCGGCTGAAGAATGCTTCTGTACTCTAATGCATCTCTGATTTCCACTGATGCCAATCTGTTTCTTATGATATGAACGAACTTCTTTTGAATATTAGCAGCATGTTTGAACGAATCTTCCTTCAATAATACCCAGGCTGATTGAAAGCTCAAGGGTCCTTTTTGCTGAGTTTTTTCAAATCTGCTAACCATACGATAAAAGTTCATTCATGGTATTGGTTTTATACCAATCCAGTTTGGACCATACCCTGATCAAAAAAAAAAAGTTTGGACCATACCAATTTAGTTAGTAACATCAGCTGAAGCGAATCCTGAATGAAATCCAGTCCTGCGTCCATTCATACAAGAGTTTTGAATCATTGGCACTTCTTGGTGATAGTTTTTTTGAGTCAATCTTGAGTATAAAATCCAGTGGTTCATGGTGATCCATTGATCCTGTTATCTCTATGAGTTGTGAGATTAAAGTGTTTTTATCTTAAGAACGTGTGAAAGTTAAAATCACTATTGGTTGTTTGGCTATAGAAAAACCTTCATTCCAATGTTTTTAAGAGCTGTGCCAGCCTGAATTTATTTAAGCCAATTTTTTTTCTGTTTACAACTAAGTGGCAAGTCCTATGATTTCATTCCTAAAGGGTACTCCAAGTGCAAAGGGTAATATTATGTTGCTGCATTTTTTTTTTTTCCCTAATTCCATTTAACTTAAAAGATAGTATATGGAATGCCATTCGAAAGTGGGCTATATTCCTACATTCTTAAAAAGATGTTCTAAAACCAACAAGTTGTTGACCTAGTGGATAAAAATTCAGATTTCCTTGTTCAACGCTTGAGCTTGAGTTTGAGTTTCCATAACAACGATAATTCGTTAAGGTTAAACTTATTTTTCAGCACCCAGAGCATGTTGTGGAATCTTAACTTTGGCCCTGATGTAAGTACGGTGGAGTCCCTTGCAAATAGTTGTGTGGTGTTAAGGGAAGCGAATATGTAGAGTGACTTATCTGCATATTTATTTTATGTACAAAAAAAAAAATGTTCTAAAGGGCCAAAAAAAAAACAAATATATAAAACCAAAAGAAAATTCACGACAAAATAAAAAAGAAAAAAGGTAACCCTAGTATTAAAAGAAAATAAAGATGGCAAATGAGTGAGTTGGATTAAAATAAATCTAATTTATTTTTCACTTACGTATTAAATGGGTTAAAATAAGTGGGTTTATAATGGGTTGGGTTAAACCCATTAACCCATAAAATAATTAAAGTTCTTAATAAACACACACTAATACAGTAAAATACACACACATTAATACATCAAAATACAAACATACACACAGACTAATACACTAAAACACACACACACACACACGAATACACTAAAACACACATACTAATACACAAAAAATATATACATACAAACACACAAATCTAAAATATATTTAATAAAAAAAAATATACACACAAAATGAGTTGGGGCGACCGGGGGTCATGGGCCATAGTTGCCCATCGATCGAGTCATGGGTCGACTTGTGGGCCGTGGGTCAAGGGTGTTATTTTGTGTGCTATTGTATGTGTATTTTAGTGTATTAATGTGTATTCTTTGATATGTTAATGTGTGTGTATTGTTTAGTATATTAATATATTTATTTACTTGTGTTATTTAGTAGAAAAATAAATATTCAACTCGATGGGTATTAATTTATAATTTATGTTAACCCGTTTAATTAAAATGAATCATATTATTTAATTTATTATGAACTTCTATTAATTAATATAGGGATTTGGAGGGTTGAACGAATTAATCGACAATAAATAACCCTAACTGTTAAGGACTCTGTTGCCCAAATCAAAGTAAAACACTGACAATTAACAAACCAATCCAAGTCGAAGCGTAAAACCGCCTCTTTTCTCTCCCCTCCTGGAAAAGAGCCCATCTTGTCTTGTAAATCCGGCAGTGGTTGGAGACCTGAGAAAGAGAACAATGGATACTCTCTTCATGAAAACCACCCTAGAGAAGCATACTGGAGTTAATTATGATTCTGATTATGATCACAGTTTATGGATCCGCCTCCCGGATGATATTATCTTTTACGATATTCTCACAAGACTCCCCGTAAAATCTCTCTTACGATTTCGATGCGTTTCTAAACCATGGTGCTTCTTTTTAACCCCCAATGATCCTTCTTTCATTGACCTCCATCTATCACGTTCTCCGTATCGGTTTGGTGGTACCAAATTCCTAATCTCTGTCAAAAACTTCCAGTTGGGGTGCCGATGTTTATTATTAGTAGACCTTGAGGTTGAGGGAGGGAGGTATGGAGAATNAAAATTCACGACAAAATAAAAAAGAAAAAAGGTAACCCTAGTATTAAAAGAAAATAAAGATGGCAAATGAGTGAGTTGGATTAAAATAAATCTAATTTATTTTTCACTTACGTATTAAATGGGTTAAAATAAGTGGGTTTATAATGGGTTGGGTTAAACCCATTAACCCATAAAATAATTAAAGTTCTTAATAAACACACACTAATACAGTAAAATACACACACATTAATACATCAAAATACAAACATACACACAGACTAATACACTAAAACACACACACACACACACGAATACACTAAAACACACATACTAATACACAAAAAATATATACATACAAACACACAAATCTAAAATATATTTAATAAAAAAAAATATACACACAAAATGAGTTGGGGCGACCGGGGGTCATGGGCCATAGTTGCCCATCGATCGAGTCATGGGTCGACTTGTGGGCCGTGGGTCAAGGGTGTTATTTTGTGTGCTATTGTATGTGTATTTTAGTGTATTAATGTGTATTCTTTGATATGTTAATGTGTGTGTATTGTTTAGTATATTAATATATTTATTTACTTGTGTTATTTAGTAGAAAAATAAATATTCAACTCGATGGGTATTAATTTATAATTTATGTTAACCCGTTTAATTAAAATGAATCATATTATTTAATTTATTATGAACTTCTATTAATTAATATAGGGATTTGGAGGGTTGAACGAATTAATCGACAATAAATAACCCTAACTGTTAAGGACTCTGTTGCCCAAATCAAAGTAAAACACTGACAATTAACAAACCAATCCAAGTCGAAGCGTAAAACCGCCTCTTTTCTCTCCCCTCCTGGAAAAGAGCCCATCTTGTCTTGTAAATCCGGCAGTGGTTGGAGACCTGAGAAAGAGAACAATGGATACTCTCTTCATGAAAACCACCCTAGAGAAGCATACTGGAGTTAATTATGATTCTGATTATGATCACAGTTTATGGATCCGCCTCCCGGATGATATTATCTTTTACGATATTCTCACAAGACTCCCCGTAAAATCTCTCTTACGATTTCGATGCGTTTCTAAACCATGGTGCTTCTTTTTAACCCCCAATGATCCTTCTTTCATTGACCTCCATCTATCACGTTCTCCGTATCGGTTTGGTGGTACCAAATTCCTAATCTCTGTCAAAAACTTCCAGTTGGGGTGCCGATGTTTATTATTAGTAGACCTTGAGGTTGAGGGAGGGAGGTATGGAGAATAGGGTCAGTCAAGCCTTCACTGTGCCCTCTAAAACAGTCTTTGATGGCCTTTCTGAAAGCATTAATGGTTGGGTCTGCTGGGACAAATTTGGTCCCGCTGGTGTGAACTCGGAGTTCATATATATTTGTAATCCTAGCACTCGCGACCTCATAAAACTTCCTATAGCTCCTCCAACTTGGATTTTTAACTCTTATCATTTTGGCTTTGATCCATGTTCACAGGAATTCAAAGTGCTTAACATCCAAATTCCTTTTTCTGATTCTCTAGGAACAAACGACGAATTATCCTTTTGGATTTTCACTTTAGGTGGTAATTCATGGCGACGAATTCATCCTGCCTTGCCTTCTGATTTTGGTCATAATGAAGTTTGTTTATTCGGACAACTGGGAAACTGTGTGTGCCTCAATGGTGCATTGCATTGGATTTGGACTTATAAGACAACGAAAAGTATACTTGTTTTTAATCTGAGAGATGAGAATTTTTGTTTAATTCGAATCCCTAACATCAGAATGTCCCTGGGTGGAAAAAATTTTGTTCTACTTCAAGTTGATGGACATTTGGTTGTATTATGTTACAAATCTAATTTCTTAAATTACGAAACCAAGGATGCAGCGGTCTTGGATCCAGCGGTGTGGACATTGGAAGACTACCAAGATGAGGTTTGGATCAAGGATACCTTAAGCTGTCCATATAAAACTTGGTGGCAGAGGCAATATGCTACTATACCCGCAGCAGGCAAGATCTTGCTAATAGGATCTCCATTAGCAGTTGCTGGACCATTGCGCAATCACCATTTGAAAGTACTTTGTTATGATCCAAAGCAAAGAAGTATTCTGGGGTTCCAACTTCCCAAGTTATATGAATGGCGAGATTTCCATATTGATGGTGCCATTAGTTATACTGAAAGCATTTGCCATCCATTTCTTTAGCATACAACCAACAAAATAAAAAGTTCTCCTTGAGCAGTTGTGGCTCTCACAGAGGAGATTAGTTGTGGCAATTCTGGACCTCTTTTTCCTCTTTTCTATTTTTAGTTGTTTGAGTGTCTGTGACACACAATGTGCTTATACTTTTTTGATTCTAGAGATTTTAAGGGCATGACGCAACCCTTGTTCAATAGGCTACCCTGTCGTAAAATTTATGAGAGTTCATTTAGCCTTGCAGTGAAAAGATTATCAGGAATTCCTCCACAACTTGTCCTTATGTTTAGTCTCCTTATCAATATTCTGCTTCAATTTGAGCTTTGAAGCCTGATAAGATCTTGCAAAATCTGAACTACTGTGTCTTAATCCTCTGTTTTTAGTGCAATGCAGACAGATGTATAGCTGCCGGTAACTGTTAATGCCCTAGAATTTTAAGTGTTGATAATGACTATGTATGAAATGGATAAATAATAAAACAATGAAAAAAAAAATGAGAAATAGGAAACTGAAAACTTAAGGTGATATAAAAGAAAAAAAAATCGGATGCTTTCTTTGTAATTTTCTTGTAGCATATGATGTCAGTTAAAATTTGCATGCCGATAATCACTACTTAACTCTCTTTTTCTTTTTCTTTTTCAAGACAGTGAAAGACATTGAATTTTTAAATGATGTCACTCATGAGACATTGGAGGTATTGATAGATCAATAGCACCTTTTGGCAAGGAATTACTCTTTCTTTTGTTACTTTTTTGCATCCAACTGTCCAAGAGAAAAATACACACCAGTGGAGCAACAAACCACTAATCTATACCCGTCTTCAATAGTGCTGTCCTGTTTGGAAACTACTGTCTGAAATTGCATTACAAGGAGTACCTATATTCACCGGGTGAGTGAGCAATTTGAGGACCTTACAAAGGCTACAATGTTGGTTTTTGGTGAATAAATTTATTTTTTTGCGTAAAATCAGCGTAAGCACGTCCTCGTTGATATCAGGACCTCCATCAATCACCAACAGTTGGTGAAACTGATGTGAGAAGTGATACATGTTTGGCAAACAAGTGAGACATGTTCTGATTTCATACTCGCTGTGAATAGTTCGTGAATTCTAGGGAAAAGTTGGTGCCTCGCAGCGTTGGGGAACATATTGAAAAATAATGTGTATCTATGTTAGATTGATTCCTCTTACACAAATGAGTTTTGAGACGAATTAGAATTGAAAGTTATTTAATTTAAATCAGCAAGAGCAAGTCTGGAATGAAATCTGACTCTGCATCTATTAATAAAACGATTGAATCAAGCATATGGTGTTTTTCCTATGACCCAAGTGCCATTCTTTAGGTGGGAGTGGTGCTGAAAACGTGAAGAACTACAAGCAACACAAAAAACAATTCAAAAATTCTGTATTTTTAGCAAGTAAAGGTTTAGTTCATCCCAATTAAATGTTCTTCCCCTCAAGTACATGCTTTAGAAATTAAATATTAATTCAGAACAACATTCCGAAAATAGGTGCACATCAAAAACAAAACATTAAGCGATAGGTCGCTGGTGTTGGGTAAGTGAGCAATTCATGTGTTAATTGTGCATGTTTGTATTCAAAAAAAAAAAAACTCTAGGTCGCTGACTCCCATAACTTTCAAACCATATATAACGTATATGCTAGAAATTTCAGAGTAATATATTTTTGCTCTACTAATTGCAAATTTTCGATTCGAATTAGAAAGTTATTGAATTTACAATTAGAATTGGAAGGTAGAAAGTTTTGATTCGATTATCCGACAAATTTTATTTACATAGTTCATATCTAAGTTCTTTAAAAGTTGAATATAGACTATGCAAATAAGTGGTATTTTAGCAAATTATATGTAATTTTTAATATAATTTTATCAAATGATCACTTAATTTTGTCTTATATTGTTGTAAATATAAGTGTATAATTGGAATTCGATATAGGTATATCTAAATCCTTTAAATAGGATATATCAAATGCATACTCGAATTTGGATTATTGGTAAAAAAATATCAATCAATGTCCGATTTATCAAGTTCGAAATCAGACCAAATTTGAATAAAGATTTAATTCATCGACAATCCCTGTCAGATGTACATAGCCTTAACCCAACATTCTTATGGTGAAAACTAAAGGAGCAATGGAGACATAATTCAATGCAGCCGTTTGGATTAATATCCAACGACTACATTGAATTATATGAAACTCACTTTCAATCCAATGATTACATTGAATTAAATTCTAAAATTAAGTCCAAACAACATTTTCATAAAAGGGAGAAAAAAAGGTTGGAACCCTAACCCCTAATGGAATTGCTGCCTAAATCCAAGTGAAACACGAATAACCCTTAACAATCAATCCAACTGTTTTCAAAAGGTATACCAAATCAGTCCAGTGTTATCAAAAGGAACCACCTCTCTTCTCTCCACTTGCACCATGCCACTATGTTATAGCGCAACGACCCTTCTTTCATTCACCTCCATCTATCACACTCTTGGTCTCAGCACGGTGACACAAAACTTCTGATCTCTGCTCATGGGCCAAAGTTACACCCCAAAGTTTATTAATAATAGATATTGAGGGAGGTATGTGAAGAAAGACAAATTCTAAATTCCGGAAATTACTTTCTTAGAATAGTGAAAAATAAGCCCAAGACTCACAACCGAAGTTAAAGAAGAATGAAGAAATTAGAATATAGCTCCAAAAAATGAGGGAAGAAAAAGACATTTATTGTTATAGAGAAATCTAAGTTATCAACTTACAATCAAAAAAGCTTACAAAAAGAAAAAAAAACTTACAAGAAAGAAAGTAAGAATAAACTGGTAATTGTTGTTGGTGATTTGTGTTTTTGTTGGCTTGTTGATTTGGGTTGGTGGGGGTCCTATTTATAGGTGACTAGAGAAATCTAAGTTATCAGTTTACAATCAAAAAAGCTTACAAAAAGAAAAAAAAACTTACAAGAAAGAAAGTAGGACTGGTAATTGTTATTGGTAATTTATGTTTTTGTTGGCTTGCTGATTTGGGTCGATGACTAGAGAAGGGTCTAGAAACTCAAGGTAGGTAGAGATTTGGAAGGTTTAAGGAGATTTGGAAGGTTTAAGAATTCTAATTTAGTGGTGAGCATTGGTAGAGAAGTGAGGGTTCTAGATGTTGGTAGAAGGTTCAAGAATGATACCAAGTGCAAGCATGTTCTACAAGGTTCTAGACATTAAAATTACCAAATACATTAATCCTCATTACATCCCTCAAAATAAAATATTTAAATAAATAATTACCAAAAATTTACTTTAAATTTTTAACAAGGTAAGTTCACTAATGGTCTATCTGTTTCGATGGAAAATGGGGGAAGGAAAATGGGGTGGATAGAAAAACTTTCCATTGTTTGGTATGGAAAGAAAGAGTGATGGAAAGGAAAATTGGAGGGAATCTTTCTGCCCACAATTTATTTTCCCCCCAAAAATGGGCGAAAAATAAGAAAAAGTCAACAAAATTTGACTTTTGAATGATAATTTTACTTTTTTACCCTTTGTTACCTTCTAATAAAACCCACTTTTCAAAATAGCAAACAAAACCCACTTCTCCATGGGCAATGACACATCATTCTCAGATAGCAGTAACCAAATAATGAACTTGATCGATAAAGCCAACAGTCTTCGGACTGGATTTTCGACTACTTCAGACCAAAATTGCTATCCTCCGATAATGTTCGGCTATTCTCCTCTATTTTTTTGTTATCTCTCTCTCTCTCTCTCTTACCCAGTCTTGGCAAGAGATTGTAAGATTTTTTGTTTGGTGTATTTATCAAATGTTAGATTAAATTATAGTATTGCATGCTTTGGGTAATCGATTTGGATTTGAGTCTTTGACATTATTGGTACCTTACTAGAAGTTTCAAGTAATTATGTGCTTTGTTGATATTGTGATGAGTTAATTTGTGAAGTTCATGACTATTACCTTTCTGGAGGTTGTTTCAGCTGGGTTCCAGCTGAGGCTTTCAGCAATTTGTTCCAGTTTGGAGATCTAGGCAGCAAAGTTTTTTTAATGCAACTGTGGTGGAGTTCCAACTGTCTGTAGGCTGTTTTGGTCTGAAGTGCATTATTCACGTCACTGTTCACGAGACTATTCATGTGTGTACTCAGTTGCTGCTACAGTTGGATTTCTTTCAGCTGATCTCTTCGTTTTTTGTATTTTGATGGACTCTTTCAACTAAACTCTTGCATCATATGGACTCTTTTAAATTGCTAGAATTCGATCATTTTATTCGGTTGATTGAAGACTTGTGTTAGGAGTCTTTCACCTAGAATTAAATGCCTTCGAGCAGTTTCAAGTATATAAGTGTTTATACCTTTGAAGAATTTTAGGAATTAAGCTTTTAGATTTTTACTTAATTTAATTCCTTGTAATTATCATGCATTAGANTATTTTAAATTGCTAGAATTCGATCATTTTATTCGGCTTATTGATGACTTGTGTTAGGAGTCTTTCACCTAGAATCAAATGCCTTCGAGCAGCTTCAAGTATATAAGTGTTTATACCTTTGAAGAATTTTAGAAATTAAGCTTTTAGATTTTTACTTAATTTAATTCCTTGTAATTATCATGCATTAGAATTTTATTTCTTTCATTATTGTAATTAGATTGCATCGAGCGGTAAGGTACATACGCCCCCCTTCACTAGGTGTAATTTAATTTTTTTAATCAATAAAATCTACTCGCACTGTCAAGGTTCCCAAAAAAAAAAAAATGTAATTGGTGACTTTTGGTAAGAAGATTTCATGTAGGTTAATTTTCTTTTGCTAATTATTTTTTTACTAACACACAAGTAACATACAAAATGACTTCATATATTTAAATGGTAGAATTGTAAAATTGGATATGTATGATTTTCCTTTCCTTTCATTTTTCATCTAATAACAAACGATGAAAAATATATCCATTCNATGGTAGAATTGTAAAATTGGATATGTATGGTTTTCCTTTCCTTTCATTTTTCATCTAAT